TGTTTGAACAGGTGTTTTAATTTTCAATATTGTATTCACTCATTCGCTCGATCGCCCACATTTTTCTTTGTTTCCCAATTTTGGCTATTTTCGTTTCTTTGTTTGAATAAATAGTCTTACCTCCATAAGACGATCTTTTCCGCACCGTTTTCATAGCGTTCAGCTTTTATTCAGATTTAGCTTAGGAAATTTAAATGAATTTTCAGAAAAAAACAACAGTACGTTCATGTATTTTATGGAAAATTGTATTATGATTCCGAGGATCTTGATGTTGGGTATTCAAATGAAATAAAACGTCTGATTGTCTTTATTGTCGTCTCAATACTGAAACTTTATTCAACTTCTTATTTTCTACGCAGTTTTTGGCTCAAGATTTACCTCTCTTTCAAAAATGTAAAATAATCAAGTATTGAAAAAACTGAACTTTAATCGAAGAACTGCAAAATGTTCAATTTCAATTCAATTCAATTTTATTCAAGACAATTTGCTGACATACATCAATATTTGGTTAGAGTAGTTTAGGAGTTTTGTTTCTGCAGTTTTGTTTTTGGAGTTAGTTAGTTGGAGTTTAGTATTGGAGTTTGGAATTTGGAGTTCATAGTACATAAAATAAAATAAAATATAGACATAAAACAAAAAATATCACAGCCGGCGACAGCAGGCGCGAGTGACGAAAGCACCTCTGTGCTGAAAGTCGAACTCGCCTATATATACACGCAATTTCGAACTTTTTTCCTAAGAGGCCATCTGGTATGAATGAAGTATTGCTAGAAAGCCCCTGGCTCATAGGCCCAGAAAATGCATTCAAACTTGGGAATCGCTCAACCGCCTCCATAGAAATAGCCACTTGAAAATTATGTACAATTATCATTATTGGACCATCCGTTCATGAGTTATGACGATTTAAAAAATTTCTTTGGCGTCTCCACCAATTATTCTGAGATAATATTTTTTCTGTCCGTCCGTCCGTCCGTCTGTCCGTAGTTTTTGCCCGATCTTTTTTAAACTTTCAGGCATTGAAGTATAACAAAAACTAAGACTTTTTTGTTCCGCCATTTTTTGATTTGCCGCCATCTTGGCCTTCCTCGGCCTTTGAAAATTCAAAATATGGCCTTCTTTCCAATGATCACTGTGCCTAACCCAGTTAACCGATTTCAAATTTTTGGGTATCGCTGGAAAGGTATTGAGGCCAGCTATCAAATGACATCTATTTTAATTTAAAAAAATTGAGTGGGCATGGTCTTATGGGCAGAAGACCAAAAAAATTGTCACATGGCCTTGCACAAATCGGCCAATTCCTCGAAAACGGCTCCGACGATTTTTTTCAAAATTCTCTGGAATTTAGCCCTAAGTTAGAGCTAAAATTTGACATATAGCTTATATCTGGCAAAACTCTGTGTTTCGAGATATAGCCATTAGAAGTTGGAAAAAACATGAAAAATCGACAAAAATCGACTAAAACTCATTTTTGTTGCCGTGAATAAGGGCAAAATCAAAACCAAAGTGATTTTGCGTTCAGATGAATAAAATTCCTTCAGATACCAGTCCTTCACTAAGTCTTTTTATTCCACGCAATCAACAAAAAACACTAAAATCACTTTTCATGAAAAAATCAAAATCAAAATCAAAAAAATTCATCATGAAAAAACTAAACATGTGATAGTTTCTTAGTATAAAAGCGATATGTAATTTCATCAAAACAAAATGTAATTTCGTCTGTCTGTCCAAAAACCAAATTTTATTAAACGAAAAAAAAATTAAATTTTTTTTCCTCCGGTGTGCGACTCGAACTCGAGTCCACACGCTCATGAGTCTGCTTTCCTACCTACGCGCTGATTCTGCTTTATTCAAAAAGGCGACAATGCTGGTTTTTAACATAGGGAAAGTGCCACAATACATTTCAAATGTAAGTCATTTGACACATAGCAGTCAATGCAAGGGGCAATCCACTCAAAAGTAATACATAATACCTGCGAAGTAATACGAAGTAATACTAGGTAAAAGTGGTATTACTTTTGATAAAGTAATACTCCTTTTAAAAATAATACTATGGTTTGAAAAAAGTAATACAAGGTAATATTTACATTAGTATTACTTAAAGTAATACTAATACACAGTATTACTTTTGAGTGGTTTGCCCCTCGAGTCAATGCCATCTCAATTCCAACTCATTGAATCATTGTATTTTTCGGCAACTTTTTTCAAACGTGTATGGCTTTACTAGAATATAATCAACTTTACGGTGACGCTAACAGCTTCTCTGTGGGCCGGTACTACGCGTTAGCCAAAACTTATTGATGTTTCGCAATGGCTACTCGATGCATTTGCCAAAATACTATGATTTTTGTACTCTTTTCTACGATATGTGTGCACGTGCAGAGAAGCTGCTAGTGTCGTTGTAAAGTTGTTTATATTCAACTCAAGCCACACACGATTTTAAAAAAGTTGCTCGAAATATTCGATGATTCAATAAGTTGGTTTAGAGATGTCATTGGCTGTCTTTTGGTATTCCGGCAATATATTTATGGTTTTTAACTACAACATTTCATGTTTTATTTTCTTTGGCTCAATACACACCACTTTGTGTTTGTTAAGTGTTAGTTGGTTTTGTTTAAAAAAAAATTTCGGGTACAAAACAACTGATATCAAATTAAAAAAAACTTCTTTCGAAGTAATTCCTCGTGACGAAAGCAAACATAAAACAGCTGATATCAATTTTAAAAAATCATTTCGGAGCGATTTAGATTCGCTTTTTTTGCATTCTTCCAACTAATTTCAGAATCGCTCTGTAATGATTTTTTAAAATTGATATCAGCTGTTTTGTGTTCGCTTTCGTCACGAGGAATTACTTCGAAAGAAGTTTTTTTTTATTTGATATAGTATAAAATAACATTGAGGCATGAAAGTAACAATGAATCAATCATAAATAATTCATAAATAATTCAATACAAGCCTTAAATTTTTATCACATTTTGATCACTCAGCATTTTTATATAATTTCTGAACCTGTTCCTATTCATAAATATATTTGGCGTCAAGTATTTTGCTATATGGTTGAAGGCTTCAACTGCCATTCTCAAAGGCTCGTTATATTGAATGTTGTTCGTGATTTTCCCCTGTAAAAGTATCGGTCTACTATTTCTGAATCTATTAAATACAGGATTTATCGCTAGTCTATTGGACAAATAGGGGACATTTATATGCTCAGTTAGTAAATCGTATACAAAGTATATTTCGTTATTTATATGCCTCCTTTCGAGCGATTGCAATCCCAAAATATCACAGCGTGATTGATAAGATGGTAACTTATGATTTATGTCTCTTTTAATTGTTTTTCTAAGTGCATATAGAACTATTTGTTTCTGCGTTGATTCAATGGATTTGGTGACTGTGGGAATCTGCCGATCCCAGACAATTTTACTGTATTCGATGACCGATCGTATTAACGAATTGTACAATATTACTATAGTTTCCTGTGAAATTCGGTTTTTATCCATCTTTTTAATGAGACCGGTAATTGCTGCTGTTTTTATTTGGACCTTCTCAATGTGTATTGTAAAGTTCAATTTCGAATCGAACCATACTCCAAGGTCTCTTTGGTGTGATACTCGTTCTAGGGTTTCACCGTTGATGGTATATGAAGCAATGATTGGTGACTGGATTTTGCAGATGGTCATGCATGTGCATTTCTGTTGGTTTATGATGAGCCCATTAATTTCACAGTATGATTGTAGCCTAGATAGGTCTTCCTGCAGTTTGATAACATCTGTTTGGGTTTTAATTGGCATCAAAAGTTTAACGTCATCAGCAAAGATAAGTAGTATAGCGTTATATATGAAGTCGCGAAGATCATTGATGTAGGCAATGAAGAATATGGGAGAGCAGTGGCTACCCTGGAAAACGCCTGAGTGCACTTTGAAATGCTGCGATTCTGATTTACCACATCTGACATATTGTTTTCGATTTGTCAAGAAATTCCATATCAGACGAAGAAGAGATTTAGATAAGCCAAATGTACTCAGTTTGCGGATAAGATTGGAGTGGGGCACAATGTCGAATGCTCTGCTCATATCGGCGTATACCACATCTAATTGTTGATTTTTGGCGATGGTTTCGATGGCAATTGAAGAAGTTTGAATCAAGTTTGTGACCGTAGATTTTCCTCTTGTGAAACCATGCTGATTTTCAGCCATTTTCGGTTCGATGATGGGGGTAATGATCCTTGATAAAATCAAATCGAAGAGCTTTGCCAATGTAGGTGGTATGGCAATCGGTCTGTACTTTTTGGCGTCGTATCGCGATCCATTTTTATGTACTGGTACAATGTATTGGTTTTTCCATCGTGACGGGAATTTCCCTTCTGACAATATTTTGTTAAAGATGACAGTTAATGGAAGAACGAGTTCTTCGGAACACTTTTTCAGTATTATCGGATGGATTTTGTCTTCACCTTTACCAGCGTTCGATTTGATACTTTTTATTGCATCAGCCACTTGAAGTGCCGTTATTTTTGGTATTTGCTCTGAATTGTCAATGCTGTTCAGGAACTCATCGATGTTGAAATTGTTTTCATCTTTGATATATGATTTTTCAAAGTTTCTCGCGAACATGTTAGCGACGTCTGTTGGATTTTCAGCCATCTCATCATCCAAAGTTAGTTTGTTTGGAATGGAACTGTTTGATCGGTTTTCTTTGATATACGACCAAAATGACGATGGATTTGTCTTGGTTTCGTTTGCAACTTTTTGAATGTATTCTTTTTGTAGTTGCTCGTTGAGCGGATCAAAAACGCTTCGAATTGCGTTGTATCTTCGTTTATCACCGGTTTTTTTTCCATTCTTTGTGTGCTGTATTTTTCTGGTTTTTCAGTTGAGTTAGCTCTTTGTTGAAGTATTTCGGCCGATTACTACGAAATACTTTAGTTTTTGGTGTGAATTTGTCTATGCCATGCTCCAAAATTCCATAAA